CTACATCACTGTCTCAATTTACCCTGCACAGCACCCTGGAAAAAGTAAACATTAGAAAACAATTCTCAGCCTATTACATCTAGATGCAAACTAAGATTTTTACCAGAATAATAAGAAGCTTTTTTCAGATTATATTGAACCCATGCAGGGAAGAAAGAAAATAATCTAAATGGGGATTTGAACAATGGACACTGCTGTGAGACAAGGTTTAGGAAAAAGCTCAAGATGGGAATAGATAGCCTGATGCAGATATGATCTTATAAAGACCACAGTTCTGCAGAGAAATGTGGATACACCAATTTTTAGACAGAACTCAAACAATAAATGTACTGACTACACAATACAATTGCCTTTTATTTTATTGAATATATTTCTTTATTTATTTATGTCATTAGTGAAAATCTGGCTCACTTTTATGGGGTTAGATGATTAGGTAAATAAACCCATGGCACAAAAGACATACAATCAGTTGTTAGCACCAGTACTATATTTGTACTTAGAGTATCAAATCACATCTGATCTCTGTACCATATGTGGATCTCTGTACCACATATTTTTCAATAGAGGTTAAATCATATCTTAACACTAAATCATTGCATAGGATAGGAAAGAGGAATGAAGACTAATAAGTTAGAGTTGAAAGAACAGAAAAAAACCATGTTGGAGACTTCAGAAACCAACTTTTATTATTTAAAAAAACTTACTGTTTGAATAGAACTCGTTGTAAATTGGAAAGCCATTGAAGTCTCCACAAAGTCCACAGGTCTGATTGGCATATTTCTCATTCAATTCCAGCTAAAATGATGTGCAATAAGTTGATAGAAATTACTATGAGCATTCTAAAATATATTCAAGTTCACTGAAAGCACCTGCACCTGTTGCCTCTAAGTATTTTTCATTAGATCTGTGTAATTTTATTTAGCAATCTAATTCAAACCAAGGGGATAGAATGAAGAGTTGTCTTGGATTTGATTCACAATGCAGAGTCCAAGCTATTGATGCTATTGATGCAGACTTAAGTTTTCACTGTAATATCTATACTGCTCTCAGCCTTTTTCTCTCTATTCATTCCTCAGAAAGAAAATCAAATCCACAGTAAAAATGAAGTTCTAAGAGAGTGAAATTCGCTAGAAAATGATATTTGAAGGGGTAAGTAGGTCCTATAGCAATGCCAATACGTTAATGACATAATGAAAGTGATTTTTCACCCTATTTTAAGCAGAAGTCTGCTAGCCACCAGAAGTAAATCTATGTAACATTTTTTAGGACTACCTGGATGCAAACCTACCTTTATTAAGAAAGAGTTGCTCAACAGTATGAGATGGGATGGCAATAGTAATCTCCTAAACAGATAGGGACTGGCCTAATCAAAGGTTAGCTCTAGTCTCTGAAATTCTAGACCAGTCCAGGAGCAGTTCTTACCAGGATACTGTCATCTTCATTCCACATTAAGACAATACCCATTTTGCTGGCAACTTTGACATAAATGCTGCTTTTCTCTATTGTAATTCCAGATTGGCTGTATGGCAGTTGAACTCTGGGAAAAAGCAGAAAGAATGCTAGGTATTTTCTGATCCAGATGTCTGATAAAGAAAAAATAAAAAAGGCTTGTGGTGTCCAGCAGCTGTAGAAATTCTAAAATAATGCAGTTGTGTGGAAAGAAAAGTGATTAAAAAATAAGATGGTCCAACCTCATCAAATATGGATCTGAATTTGGATCCAACCTCTCAGGATTTTTTATCCAGATTTTATTTTTGAGGTAATCTTTAAGGGAAGGATTGATTTACTGTGAAAGGAATTAATAGCAACTTGCTCATTATTTATATTGGTGAAACTGTCGGATTTATTGAAGAACACATTTTTTTTTCCCCTAAATACACCAAAGTACTTGACAAGTTTGAAAAAAGATCTGTGGTTACCAAACACATGTTATAAATAAACTTACCTGTTGCTGTTAATCATGACACCATCCTTTGTTAGTTCAGCAGCTACACCTTCAAGTTTCATGGTGATATGGTTAATTGTTGGAGCATTTTCCACCACTATGCGCCTAATCTGGATGTTGAAATCCTCATAGGGAGCATTGCAGAGTGATGCAAAAACATAATTACATAGCCCAGGGAAGGAATATATGTCTCCATCAAAGGTCTTGAAGTGGAAGTTGCCCCATGTGCTGCACACACGGCCATTGTGAGCAGGATTGGAAGCTGTGAATTAAAACTAGCTGTAAAAAAACGATTTAAAATTCCCAGCCTCAACATGGTGAAAATCAGCTTCATTTTGTCATCAAATAGTTTTTGCCTGCCTACCTGCATTTCTCATTTTCTGCCTATTCATTATAGAACTATGTATTAATACTTCACTCATATCTACTACTCATATAACCCTATAAATGGTTATAGATACGTTCAGCTAAAGCTTTATTAGTTGTCCACATTTCAGCTAAGATAACATTCAATATTATGCTTCTTAATCACCCTCTTTATCCTCTTAATAATCCGTGACTTCCTTTACTAGTGTCTCTCCCTTTTTGTATTAGATTCCTCTGTCTACATCCCCTAAAATTGAAAATTTCGTTGAACACATTTCATATAATTTACTTACGTGTTATCACTGGATTTGTCAGCATTGGCTGGATGATGTTCACCTTAGATGAAACCACAGCAGAAGCTAGAAAAAAGTAAGAAAAAACCCCAAAACTAGTAATTCCAAAAATGGCACCCAAAATTCACGTAGAAAGGACTAGAAAGTTATATGGCAGATCCAATGAAACAATGTTAAGCCTGTTTTGTTTTACACAGGGCATGGACCAGGTTAAAAATGAGTACTGAAATTCAAAATCAGGATAGGTAGATCATAAGAAATTGCTTTCAGCAGTGATGATCTGCATTTTCTACCTTTTAATTTTGACCCTTTCTTGAAACTCTGTGTTATGACAGGCAGGAATTCACAGCTTTGCATATTGGAATGCTTCAGGCACGCTGAACAATACAAAAGGTTAAGCTGCACTAAATTAGACTGTTACTGGTACAAAAGCATAGTTGCCTTCTCATTACACCTCCTCTTTCTGAGGAGGGAATAAAAACTTTAATTATTCCCTTTGCTCTCTGTTTAATATTTTTCCGTTAAGTGGCTGAAAACCATTAGAAATGACCTGGAATCCACTGTACAGGATGATCACAAATCATTACTTGGTAAAAAGCAGTCTTGATTTCCTAACATCAGCTGCTGACTTTACAACTTGCCAAAGTGTTCTTATTTCCTTGTTTATAAGGAACTGTCCTGATTTCGTCTGAGATAGAGTTAACTTTCACAAGAAGCTGATTGGGCTGACCCAAACCAAGCAATCAAATGGGCTATTCTATACCATGTGACATCATGCTTGGTATTTAATTGGGGGAGCTGGCTGAGAAGTGGTCTTTTGCAACTCAGGAGCAAGCTGAGCATGGGATGGTGAGAACATTGCACGCTGTATATTCTTTTTATCAGTATTATTGTTTTTCTTTTCTTCTACCTTTGCTATTCTGTTAAACGGTTTTTATCCCAACCCCCGAGTTCTGCCTTTTCCTTCTGGTTCTCCTCCCTATCCCACTGCGGCAGGGGAAGAGTGAGAGAGCAGCTGTGTGTTTCTTTGTTGTAGCTGGGGCTAAACCATGACAGAACCAAACATCCTGCACATAGATTCCACTTTGATTGTATATATACATATTCATGCATATGTTCATGCAGCCTCTACAAACATACATCTGTTTTCTTAGTTATTAATATTATCTATTATAATACAAAGGTAACCATGCCATGTGTGTTTAGCAATTGGTATCTAATAAAGATATTACTATTCTTTGTATATAAGGAGGCTTGTTAATACACATTTGTCTTTATTTGACATTACTGGCAATATGCTAAGGAGTTTTTTTTGGGCTTGTTTATTGTTTAGTAGAGATGTAGCAAATAAATACAAATACACATACAAGTTTGAATACATAGTATAGACAAACATACTGTTTTGGTTTTGCCGAACAGCCTCAGTGTATGTGCTTCCTGTTTCCTGTGGGATTTCAGTCTGGGCTCCTGTGGAGAAATTGTGAAAATCATATGAAGTACAATGTCCTGTATCGGAACTTAAAAGCAAAGCATTTAGATAGTAACAAAGGACTCAGATACATCTCTGTAAGACAAAGGAGAGAGTCCTTTATCAGATCAGAAAAAATGAATTGGGCCCTCAAAAAAGATAAAATGTGATTACAGACAGAGACTTTCTGTTACAAATATGCAGAGTTTGAAATCCAATTAACATTTCATGTACGTCTGCACTCTTTGTTTCCCTTAAAACTCACTACACAGGATTCTAATGACTGGATCACAGCCCTTATGTCATTGTTGCATGAAGTCTTACTAACATGTGAAACAAGTACAGGAAGATTTCACAAAATGTAAGAGTCATTTATTAAACTGCTGTGTAGCAGATAGGCAATAATAGGAAAAGGCACAGAACTGGTTAAAAGAAACAAGAGACTTAGGGCTTGATCCAGTAATGACTGCAGATATTTATATGTGTTTCTTTAGTGCCTAAGCATAGGACCTTTTCTTCTGGACCAGATCTAAACCCACAATCAGGGATACAGATTTTCTTTACAGCTGGATGGAAGCAGGTACATCTAAGTGATAATACAGGCACCCACAGCCTGAGCAGTAACCCAGGAGAAGCAACCAAAAGATCTGCGTGTCCTGTTCTACCTCTCTTCTCACTCTGCAACGGTTCAAATGCACATCTTCTCTGTGGAAAATGTTAAGCATCATACTGTAAGTCTATTTGGCCAATGGTTCTTGCTACCCAACCTGAAGCTGAGGCACAGTGTCAAAAACATTGGGACAGTGACAAAAAAGGAAAAACTAGACCATGATCATGTGACCACGTGATTAGGGCACTCAGCTACATCAAAGCGGTCCTATTTTTGTGCCTTGCTTCAAGGATTATTTTTGTACCTCCAGTTAAATGGTTACTGTATGAACTGCATGAGCTGTCTTTCAGATGAGTTCTGCTTCTCTCTATCATGATTCCATAAGTTTTTAATTCTTCTCCATGCATGGCCCAGCAGTACCATACCAGCGGAGGTGTTGGCAAAGACTTTTGAGAGATGACAAATAATGACCTGAACAATTTCATACCTAGAAAAAGACTGACACTGAGCTCCTTGGTTGGTGCTCTAGGCTCTTATCTTTTATAAGTAAACATGGCAGGCATTTCCTGTAAAAGAAAAATGGCTACAACTTCATCTTGTGAAGGACTGAATCCTGTCAGCATGTGCTAACAGTGCTTGGAACACATTCATCACCATGTACATGTAACCTGTCAAGTCTAAATCCTCAAAGGATTTGCATGATGAAATGACTAATGTCTGAATCCTAATCAGGATTATGTGAATGACTACTCTACGTGTCTAAAGCATTTCTTGGTCAAAGAGGAATTGTCTATATAATTTAGTCCTAAAATAAGCCCCCTTTTTCCTTATACAATAGCTGGGAAGAGTTCACTGACTCAGAACTGGATCCATAACACCCTTCTTGCTGAATAGGGAGCCACACTGGTGGAAGAGGGGGAAATGCTGAAGTCGGAGGTCTGCCATAAGTGTCAGTCCCCATTGGTGCTTACATCCCTTGCTGAAAATTTCCTCCACTTAAGAACCTCAGCCCAAATAGCTCCATGAAAGCTGGACAACTACCTTTGCCTTAAAAATAACTGGATCAAGAGCAATTAGAAAAAAAAAATTGTAATGTAACTTCTATCACTTCTATCTGTGCCCACCATATAAGCAGATTGAGTACTTGATCTCAGAGCTGAAGGATGCCTCTCTGAATGGATTCAAGCCCCCACTCCCAGACAGGTCCCCAAGAGACTCCTGTCTTTGGAGGAGAGGATTCTGGGCAGCCTCACCATATCTAGAAGTTGCTGCAGTGTCTGCAGTTTCTTTCAGACATAAGCTTTTAATTCTTTTCTCATTTAACTTTCTGCTTGACCACAAGTGATGTACAAAGAAGTAAGACAGAGTTTAACCATTTTCCATTTCCTGTTAGCCTTTCAGTATCACAGATAATATCATTAGGTAAATGCATTCATATAATTATAAATTATAATGATCAGGTGAGGAAAAAATTATACTGATCAGGTGAGACAAATGCCTCTAAGTCTGAATAATATGCTAGAATTTGCTCTCACCCAACATATCTATAGGAATCTCAGCAGGCATAGAATCATAGAATGATTGTTTATTCTACCATGAGAATATTTTGTAACAGAGCAAAAAGTATATACGTGTATTTTAGTCAGTCAGTTTTTCTGGAGGAAACTGCAGGCTTTTGTTTACTTAACAAATGCATCGTTTCCAAGGGAATTCTAGCTGCATTGGTTTATTTAGCGATTGCACAATGCTACATTTTGACCATTATAAAAACAAATGTGTCTCAGTTGTAAGAATAGTCAAGATAATTCACTGCTTGATAATTTGAGAACTGACTTAATTATTAAGAATATTTCTGGATGCACTTTGCTAAGTCTATATCCAGCTGCCAATCTGCATATGCAATTATAGTTACAATCGATTTATAAAAGTTAGTATTTGACCCAAAATATAAAGTCAGGTACAGAGTGTTCGTGGACATGGCATGGGATTGTGCCAATATTCTTCACTCAGGACATCTGAAAATATTTTCCACAGAGTGTGATTCTAATAAAGAGAGTTTACTTGGACAGTGTCAAACCACTACTCATATTTCAAAGCAATCTATCAGATTAGCATTGCACAGTACAAAGAACTTTCTTGTTCAATGAATGGCTGAAGATACTTCTGACTGACATTGCATAACTCTAAACGTAAGCTTATAGTCAAAGTGATTGTTGTATATTGTGCTTAAATCAACTTGCCAGTATTTTAGTGTTTATTTCACAAACTATAAAGTAGCCTAAAATTGTATTTGCACTGGTCAATGTTTTGAAAATTATATGCAAGATAAATTTACATAAGCAATCTGAAGATTTTTAAATGTTAGCTGACAGGGCTATAATTAATGTACATGAATGGGAATAACTTATCAAGTTCATACTCATGCAAGTATTCTCAATTTGAGCGGCCCCATTGGCTTAATAGGGGTACTCATAAGAATGAAAACTGCCAAGACCAGCCCTAATGGATAAAACGCTGAGGAGAAAAACATACAAAATGATGGATTGCATGAGCCAGATAAATCTCCCAGTCCTGCTCACAGTCAATATCAGTAATTTATATAAATATTTTGTGTAGGGTATTATCAGTGCACAATTGGTTACTGCAAATCATTGCCACATGAATATTCCCTTCTAGTCTCTTTTGCAAAAGAAGTTGCAAGAAATCTTGAGGAATCTGGTATTAGCTCCTGGTAGGTGACAAGATTCCGGAAAAGATTGACCAGTGGTTTGCTCTAGCAGATGGAAAATGCAGTGTTATAAATTTCATAAAAAACATAATATTCATGGCCAGTCCTAATACAAAATGGAGCAGTAATAGAATGCTTTTGGAAGGCATAAGTGATACTGAAAAACTGACATTTAAAAACATGAAAAATGGTGCTTTTTGATTTGATCTTCAAGGCTACCTACCAAATGTAGTTACATGCAGTAGGTTCAGGCAATATTGAATTAAATCAGTCAATTAACAGACAGACATTAAGTATTTAATGAAAATTAAAAAAAGAAAGATATAAAGAAATGTTGTTTAAATGCAACCAACTGTTAAGTGAAAAAATAACATGAGTATAGCTGTTTAAAATATATTACTAGATCTAAATAGGTTTATTTTTTTTCCAATAAAGAAATGGAACTTCTTACCTATCTGATGGATACAGCAAACTGCTAACAGGAAAGCCCATTCTGGTACCCATATCCCTCTGCCAAACCCCATCTTGAGTGGAGTCTGGCACAAAGATGTTGGGTTTAGTCAGGAGGAGTAGAGTAGTTCACCTGTGCTTTGCCAGTCTTATATAGTAGGTGACTTTGGCTTCAGTCCCAGATTGATTCAGAGAGTCTAGAAAGGTGGGGTTTGGGGGATTTTAGCAAATGAGCAAGTAAACAGAAGATGCTCTTCCTTCCTCAGAAACTGGTCGATGGTATTTGCATTTTGGGAGGAGTATATACATATACGTACGTATATTTTGTTAATGTTCAGTCTAATAAAAAAACATAGCACGGTGGCAAATAAAACACAACTCCTCCTCCACAAATAATAGGTCCTGGAACAAACTTAATTTGGTGTTGCTTTACAGATATGCAGATGGCATGCAAGTACCTATGCTAAGTTTTTCAATGCTGTAACTGATGCTGGGGAACCCAGCTTTAGGAAGTCACTCCATGTCGCTTGGGGCAGGTAATCTTCTTGCAAAAATAACAGACTAATAACCTTGAAAGATCCTGCACTATCACAGGATCACACTGAGTGTATGCCACAGAAACCCTTCTGTGTCCCTGACAAGCATTAGGCACCTATCTGGTGAACATTAAGCTAGCTTCACCTAGACTGTATCCTACATTTGTTAGAGGTGGGCCTAAACCTTGAAATTTAGTTCTGAATTATCTGTATGATCTGATTTTGCCTTCTTGTGGAAAATGTCAGGAGTAATTTGAGGCACGCAGCCTTACACCAGCTTTGTAGGAGAAAAAAGGTGTTAAATGCATTATGGCCTGCGACCATGATCACATGGTTTCAGTATCTTTCCTGTGTAATTCTGTTCACACCCATGGAGTTGAGGACTACAAATTAGAGAAACAGGCAGTTAATCAGGCATATAGGGCTTGCTAGTAAATGTTTCACATACTTTTTTTCTTAACATTGACTTTTGCAATTCTACTGGATTATAATTTCAAAAGCAGGA